AAATTGCTCCACACAGGTGGAAGTGCTGTGCATGCGAGCATGAGGGATGGCTCAAGACGCCTGGCACATGTGCGGCGTGCGAAAGAACTGGTACAATTAACCCTCTCCCAATGAACATGATCAACGTTGTCCACAAAGAAAATGAAGAGATCACTCAAGCTTGGGATGATGTCACAGGAAACGAACTCGACCCTAAATTGACTGTAAAAGCACGCCAAGAAGAAATGGAAAAATTCAGAAAACACAAAGTTTACGAGAATGTGAAGGAGGAAGTGTGCTGGCAAATCACGGGGAAGGCGCCCATCGGAACCAGATGGATAGACATCAACAAAGGAGATGAGTTAAGCCCAGACCACAGATCAAGGCTGGTAGCCCAACAGGTTTAATACAATTCCAAAGAAAAGAACATATTCGCAGCTACACCTCCACTGGAGGCACAAAAACTGCTTTTCTCAATTGCAGTTACCGAGGGAGTGGGATTCACGAACGGTGAGCGTGAGAAAGGATTAAAGTTAGCATTCGTTGACATCAAACGAGCTTACTTTTACGCTCCAGCAAAGAACGACATATTTATCAGGTTACCAGACGAAGACTATGAACCAGGTATGTGCGGAAAACTGTTAAAATCAATGTACGGAACCAGAGACGCTGCGAGCAACTGGGAAGACTGTTACATGGACTTTGCTAACGAGGCTGGGTTCAAGAGCGGAATTGCGTCACCATGCGTGTTCAAGCATGAGAGTCGAGCGTTATGGTTAACAGTTCATGGAGATGATTTCACGCTGTTAGGAGGTGATCATGATCTCGACTGGTTTGAAAATAAAATTAAGGAGGAGTTTGAAGTGAAGGTGAGAGGACGACTTGGACCAGGGAAGGAGGACATGAAGGCGATCAGAATTCTGAACAGGATTGTGGAATGGACGAAGGAAGGATTGAGGTATGAGGCAGATCAAAGGCATGCAGAGATAATTGTGAAAGAGCTTGAGCTAGAAGGAGTAAAAGTGAGGACTGAAGTGCCAGGTGAGCGAATTCCAGTTGAAGAGGGAGATGAGGTAGAACTTTCGCCCAACATGACTAAGAGATATCAAGCGTTGACGGCCAGAGCAAATTACTTAGCTCAGGACAGGTCTGACATACAGTATTCTGTAAAGGAACTTGCTAGGACCATGTCAAAGCCAACGATGAGTTCTTGGAAGGGTTTAGTCAAGTTAGGAAAGTATTTGAAGTACCACAGCAGAAGCAGCTATGTGTATCAATATCAGGAGCAGCCCCAAGAATTAACTATTTGGACCGACACGGATTACGCAGGGTGTAAGCGAACGAGGAAGTCTACGAGTGGAGGAGTAGTAATGTGGGGTAAACATCTTATAAAATCTTGGAGCACGACTCAGAGTGTCATCGCATTATCGTCAGGTGAAGCAGAGTATTATGGACTTGTGAAAGGAGGATCAGTGGGTTTAGGACTTCAGGCAGTACTAAGAGACTTTAACTTGGAAGTTGGGATTACAATGAAGAGCGACGCCACGGCTGCGATTGCCATTGCGAGCAGACGAGGACTGGGGAAAGTGAGACATATCGAGGTGTGTCAATTGTGGTTACAGCAGAAAGTTAAGGAGGGAGCGATTCGCATCGTGAAAGTAGGGACACACGAGAATGCAGCGGATGCGTTGACCAAGTATGTCAGTCGTGAAAGCATGAACGCACATCTACGAAACACGAATCAATGTGCATTAACAGGTAGGCATGAGCTCGCGCCAGCTACCGAATGTCGATGTTCGCAGCTCATTTCTGTCAAGCAAACTGCAGCTATTAAAGGCCTTCTCCACCCATTACCTCTTACTCTTGGGCGTGAACGAAGGCATGGCGGCTCCCCAGGTCAACCTCACCATTAACGGCTCCATGGTCGACCAGAGCCCGGCTGGGGATGGACCGGTTACGCGTGAGAACCTCAACCGCCGTGTTGACGACATGGTGCACGTTGCTCACGCGTTTACCGTAACCCTCACTAACATGGCGATCAACTTTCACGGAGCCTACGACAAACACGTTGACGAGGTGCAAAGGGCCGCGGATGACATGGCGAAGAGGATCGAGGAATTAACGCGGCAGAACGAGGCGCTGATCCAGGACAGTGACGACGTCAACGAGAATCTCCAAAGAGCGCAGGCGGAGATTAACGCTCTGATGGCGACGATTACGGACCTGAACATTCAGAATCGTGACTCGGGAGTTAACACGGAGGAGAATGCAACCAAGTATAGGCGCATCAACGACAACATTGGTTACCCCCTGAACACCGCCAAGCGCCTTACCGAGAACATCACGCCCCTGCAGGACTTCGAGGGTAAACGTGATGCGGCGCTGCGCATGTTGGTGAGTGTAACCGAGAGGCTCGAAGGATTACAGAGGTTCTTGCATGACCCGATCAACTCCCCGGTTACCAACATCCCGCAGGTTCCTCCGCCGTTACCCGAGCAGCCCCCAACGGCAGTGGCCGCCAAGGCGCCTCCCACTGCAGTCAACGCGGCGGCCGAGGCCAGCAAGCCTCTAGCCCGAGCTGCCGCGGCATCGGGTGCACCCCCGGCTCAGGGCTTTACCGGCACCACGCCCAAGACCGGAGGGTTCGGTCGATCCGTGTCGCCGAATAAGATCCCGCAGTCAACGTCACCTCAACCTGTTTACAAGAAAGCACCCAAGGCCATGCATGAGCGTAAACGGGAACTGGAAGAGTTACTGCAGCTGGGAATGAAGATGGATGAAGATCGTGCGCAGGGCAGTCAACGTGACGAAGTACCAAAAGGTCCTGCCCCGGTGGTGAACGTGAGGGCGCCCAAGCCGCCTCCTCCAGGCCTTGGCGAGTCAGGTGCATCGAGCAGTGTTAGCGGCATGAATCCCCCGCCTCCGGTGCCCAAGAAGTTATCGACCCAGCACGTTCCTCCGCCGCAGCCTCAAGCTGTTAACCGTACGGACGAGCAGCTTGCGGCATACTCGCGGAACGTTGCCAGGGGCATGCACCGACCACTGTGCCATGTCAACGGCCGCATGCCCATGGTGAACGACAGGAGCGAGGACCACGACGTCAACTACAAGGTGGAGCCCGACCCCAGGGAAGTAGTCGCGTTAACGATGAAGACGCGCGACAACTGGCGCAGGTTCGAAGGCAACTTCGTCGGACATGTGGCAAAAGAAGGGTTAACGACTCCAGGTGGTCGGTCTATTCAGGGCAACACGGGGCGGGAGCTTAACGACTACGATGAGGTGTTCGTCGACATTTACGGGCAGCACGCTTACGGGTTCCTCGGTTACTCAGTGTTGAAGGGCCCGTGCAGCTGGAGATCTCAGTTGACGGAGAAGGAGCTGGCCAAGCACGACGAGTGGGTTGACGCAGTCGGGCACGTACAATCCCTGTTCGACGACGAGTACGTGCCGCCGATCCACGTTAACGATCTCCACCCAGCGTGGTTCGACGTTCACAGCTGCCCAGATACACAGGTCTACGTCAACAAGGCACCAGAAATGAACGAGAAGCAGCTTAACGGCCTTCTGCTAACGTGGGCCGGGATGCTGCCCCACGGCAACCCCACCGTGGTCTCCGTTAAGCACCTGGTGGAAGACACTTACGGACCGCACGGTTACATCTCAACTGGGGTTACCGTGATCAGGTTTGCGACGCACGACCTTGCCAAGCTCTATTGCCGTTACATGAACGGGCTCCAGGTGTATTACCGCAACTACTTCATCGAGGATCTCGAGGTCAGGAGCACCGAGGAGTTAAAGGGCAGCATCAACAAGCCTCCGGTTTACTGGCACCAGACCATCCTAGACGTCGCTCTTAACGATCAGGGGTCCATGAGGGCACTTTACCGTGACAACTGGCCTGCTGATCACATCACCGAGCGTAAAAGTGACCACCGCGAGAAGCTCTGTTGGTTTGGATGGTTGCCGTGCGACGACTTCCCCAACTGGCTTACCGACCCGGCCTGGACTGTGAACCCGTTTACCGGAGTTGCGGTCGAAGAGCACCTCCGCAACAATCCAGGTGGTAAACCTCTGCTGAAGGCTCCCCACGCCAGTTACTGGAGGGCCATCGGCACTTACCACAACATTGTTGACGGGTCCACCAAGAGCTTTGACGAGGGGTGCTGGCTGGACGACGAGGAGCGCATTAACGCGTACCTGGACACCGACTATTACAGCCCGACGCAGGCCCTTAACAGGGTGTCGTCCTATACGGCGGCCAGCGTGGGGCACCGTGGTTTACCGAAGTCCAGGGGCGCGCGTGCTCCGTCAGTGAGGCGTCCGCGCCGCTCGTAAACGGTGACAGGTGACCGGCATGCTTTTCTTTTACGCTCTCTCTCATCTCCCCTCTCAACCAGGCTTAACAATAGCGTTGCAGTAGACTATTGAGCTGAATCTATTTGCATGTGCATATTCTATAGTTACCGCAGGTATTGGCGCATAGAAAGCGAAAGCAATCAAAACCATATAAATGCTAGCCTGCCGTGTGAACTTCGGATGCTATATTTAAACTCGTATCTGATTGAGTGTTTACTTGAGCTCACGTTGCATGTCTGAGAGACGTGGTGCTCGTGAACGTTGTTACGAGATATTTCGAATTCGGTAATATAACGATGTCCATACAGCCTGTTGCTTGATTTAACCTGTCTTTGCATCTATAGGCACCTCCCCGTCAGCCAATGCGGACTGGCGTCCGAGGGGGGGTGTTAACATGCAAGCGTGCGTGTGACATGGGAGGAATAGCAACCCTGCTGCCTTTGGCTCAAGTGTTTAACGGTCGAAGCTACATAGACCTGCTTTGCCGTTCGGGAGTATAAAGGTGACCTATCGTTATCATTATCGCCAGGCTCCCGTGCAGAACCCTCCTCGGGGTTTTGCAGGAGGGGGAGGAGGAGGAGGAGGAGGAGGAGGAGGAGGAGGAGGAGGAGGAGGAGGAGGAGGGGGAGGCCGAGGAGCGCGAGGAGGAGGCCTGCGCGAAGCAG